TATCTTAAGCATTTATTTAAATTCTACATATGAAATATTATATTTTTATTTATACAAAGCATGTTTTACCACTTTGGTACTACACATAATATTTCAATTTAAGCTTATAATACTTTTAATGCAATTATGCAACTTATTTCTAACACAATTATACATTTCTTTGAAATACCAATGCCACATTTTAACATTTGGATTTTTAGCAATAGTATAAAAAGTTAGATATACTTACAACATTCATAATATTTATGCAAAGTATCCTTTATATATGTAGATGATCTTAGGTAAATTGTGTATAATTTTATTAATAATAAATTTATATAATAATTAACTATGATATCTTTATAAATATGAATATGAATATGAATATGTTGCATGTGACACAAATAATCATGATATCCATGATATAGTTGTAAACATATTGCTATGTTTCTTTTATTGGAATTTCTTATTGTGTGTGATATTATAAGTATCCTTTTGGTATTCCAAGTTTTTTAAATCCTATACAATTTTAAGTTAATAAAATCAATCTCAATCTAAATATTAGATGACATGTTATTGAAAGCATAGATTGGCCAAAAGAAATGAAAGGTGCATCAAGTAATCTTGGTGATGGTTGTATATTATTTATCTTTGATTTTGTAACTATGTTCTACAATGAAACCTTTGAAATATTTTAAACATTGTTTTGCTTCAAATTTTCACAAATATACTAGAAAGAACACTCAAATCTTAATTCCTTCACATCTAGAATCCTCCTTATATTTTAGTTCTTGTTTTTTTTTCTTTTGTTGATTTATTGTAAAGAATTTTTTGTTTTGCAATAGATTTATAATATCTATTAATAAGGATATGCTTGAAAAGAAACATCTACCATTTCCTTCACCCTCAAAGAATGTTGTCATAATATTTGTTAATGGAAATTGATACCTTCCAACCCACATTCAAAATTCCTCGTTCAATGTTGACCACCGCCTCAATACCGACAGTATCAATATCGGTATTGAGGCGGTGGTCAAGGGCAGGATCATTTATATTTTAGAAAAAACAAGAATTTACCAAAACAGATTTAGCAACACCAAGAATTTGGTTATCTGCTCCTTGACCACCAAGCAAAGCAGACTTCTGGAGAGTGCGGGAAATCATTCGGTGGGTGCCCACTCTATCGAAACATTCCACTAAAAGAAGGATACTCACGAACATTACGCTTTACGGGAGTTGGGTGCTGAAACGGTTGCCTAGATCGAATCTTTATCAGAAACGTACATATTGAGGAGCATAGTGTGGGTGTCATCATACGAGCCGTCTTCAGACGTTGTATGTGCCCGCAGCTGTGCAAACGGGTGGTCGGATGCGTGGTCCGAGGTGTTAGTTGATTCCGGGTGAGCTTTGGCTTTGTTACTTGCAAGCGACATGCATTAGAGATGATGTCATTTTGTGGATTCGGTAGACGCCTTTGATTTCTTCCGGCTGTATGTGGACCTTGCACACTTCTTCGTCTGATAATGCCGTTGATGCGAACTTGCTGCTTGTGTCGTTATGTCATCGTTACACAGGGTTTTGTATTGTCCTCGAGAATTCAACCGTGGTCCCTGACTGCAGTGTCTTGCTCAATCCACCGAATCCACACGCTCACGCTCACGCTCACTCTTAAGCGCATAGGACATCTCCAGGGAGGGTGTTCGCAGTTTCACAATGATTACCTTGAAGATCTACAAGCATTTAAAGGAATGTGACAGGAAGAAGAAGAAGGCGCAATCTATAAAAAACTGGGTTAAAGAGCAACAAGCGGTTGCCACCCCCAAGCGGACTATACCACCTGAAGTTGCTAGTTACATACGTAATGCAAATCTGCAGCAGGTGCTTGCCATGCTGGTCGATGGAGTCTATTCCCGTGACGAGGAAGCCACCAGCTTGCAGTATTTGTTGAAACATTTCGTCGAGGCCGAGTACGAAGCAGACGTCCGGACGGAATTGTACACGGCTATTTATTGGACGCGCATGGATGAACTCGCCTCTAATTTAGAAGACGAGGCCATGGTGGGGATTAGGCATTACCTTCGAAAAGATATCCATCCCAACGCGGCCGCCCCTCGCCTTGTCATCGCTCTTCGCGGAACGAAAACCAGCAACGCTCGAGACATTCGGGACAACGTCAGAGTTTTACTTAACTCACTCCACCAGAGCATCCGCTACAAAAAGTGTCAGGAGATCGTCCTTGATTTGGTCACGAAGTTTCAAGGCCACCCATATAATGGTAAACCTCACGAAATTTATATCACTGGACACTCTCTTGGAGGAGCGATCGCGCTTCTCATTGCGAAAGATCTCGCCTCCATGAATCCTCCTCATCGTTTGGAAACCCACCTTTTTAACCCCCCATTTATACGGTTGCCCGAGGGTGTCCAAGCAGGTGCTCAGGAATTGATACAGATGCGCGAGAGCTACAAGAAACTAGCAGATTGGGTGCCGAAATTGTACATCAACAAGGACGACTTGTTATGCATGAGATTTCATAAATACTACTCAAAAAAGCAGACCAACGTTCCCAACCTCCCTGTGCGCGCATTGATGCGCATCCTTGGCAGAAACGACAAGTACATAACGCTGATGCCGTCGGTGGACATGTACATCAGTGATTACAAAGACCCATCAGTCAGCTTGGCGGCCCACAAACTCAAGCAGTGGTACGCGATTGAAACCGTGAGGGTAGAGACGACTAGTTACCGTTTGTTGCCGAAGACACCTCCTGCCGCGGAACAGTACCCTCCACTCTATGTTCAAGACGCTCAGCAGCAACCCCAACCTCAAACTCAACCCTCTTCCGGTTTCAATCCGTTGGAGAACGCCGGCTACTGCAATCCCATTCCATACGCTCAGCCACAATTTTATCCGCCATACCAAGCTGGTTTCAATCAGTATGGGTCCGCCGCCTATCCAAACCAGGCTCCGTATATTCATCCGCAATACCCACCGCAGCACATATTCAATTACAACGCATGGGCGAAAGTTCCAGTCTATGGGTACCCCTATCCAGCGGCGCAGCCGCAATATCAAAGCAGAAGTCTGGATCCGGGCTCGATCGATGGAGCTCAACTCCACAATCAGCCGCATATTCAAAGCAGAAGTCTGAATCTGAGCTCGACCGATGGAGCTGAACTCGGCGCTCAGCTCGAGATGCAGTTCCAAGCTCTTGAAGCTCTTGCGCAGACGTATGGTTTTACCGATCAAAGGGGGCTCAGTGAATTAACGGTTGATCAGCTACATTTCGGGTACGAGTACAGCTCCGACGAAGAAGAAGAAGAAGACGAATTGATACCACCACCACCGCAAGCGGAATTACAATGAAGGCTGGATTGCTTTCGTTGTGGTGCTCAGAAGCATACTCTCACGTCAAGGGTGAATCTCGACGAGGGGCACCTCGGAAGAAGACTCCATCACTGCAACTTCGCTCTCCACCGACACCGCGACAACAGCTCCGACGGCGACGACGGGTGATTTCGGTATACTTTGTACGCACTCGCTGTATTATTATCCGTATCCGAACTCGTATACTACGTCGAGGTTGTCTAGGTCTTACGTGGAGAAGCTAAATAATAGGTTAGCCGTGGTTTGACTCAATTTATTTATAGATATTATTATTCTTATTATTTGAAGTAATAAATTTTTAATTATTGAAATTGAAATAAAATTTTCTATAAACATCTAATTTCAAATGTTCTTTTATCTTATAATATTAAGTCTTTTGTATACTTATCAATATTATTATTATTTTCTTAAGCAACTTAGATATATTTGTTGGATTTATTAAAAAAGAACACTTGAAAGACTAGATTACTTGATTTTTAATATCTTTTGATAAGACAAGTTTATGAATAAACATATCATATAAGGCTTAAGCTACAAGCACACCCAAAGTTGCTATGTGCACATCTCAAATTACTATACACACATCCAAAAAACATAAAGTCTTCTAATTGATTGCTTGTTTTGTAAAGACTCACGCTTGCTATTATTGCAATGGTTTCATTGACCAATTTGTAGGCAGGGTGAAGGAACAACTCTCCTATCTAAGTTTGATTTTAACTTTGGCTTCCTAGTTCCGATATGACTCCTAGACTTGAAGCAAGTTCTTGACTTCTTCTTCAACTTCCTAATCCAATAAGGTCTCTTGTTGCAATTTTTTCAACTCAAGCTTCTCATCATCATTCTTTTAAGCAAGTTTGTTGCAAATATCTTCTATAATGTGTTGAGCATTGCATTCACTCTTGAACTCTTATAGAGCTTTGGCGGTTATCAATTAAGCATCAATACAATATCCACAATTGCTATAGCTAGATTTTTCAAATTTAAATGATTATTTTGTTGCTTCAAATCAAAAAAATATGTAAGTGCATAATTGCTGCTTAAAATATCTAGCTACCAAAATTTTGGCAAAGTTTCTTATCTTTTTCTTTTGTCTTTCTTCTATCATGTGTCAAACTCTCAATGTCTTTTCAAATGACAGAGTTATTTACAACTCTAGCTACATACTAATATTTATTGAGCATCGCCAAGAATTCCTTAAACTCTTGTGTTTTTAGATAAACACATGTCTTTTATATCACAAGGCATTGCAGCATCTTTATTAAATCCAAAATCTCTAGCTTGTTGTAGTTATCTATAGAGAGAAGTCAATCAACATTACCAACTAAGTTTTTTTTTTTTTTTATGAGAGCATTATGGTCATTGTCCTCCTTATGGCAAACACAATCCTTCCTATGGTCTATATCTAAGCATTATTCCAATGACTCAAAGATGCCAAGCATTCATTACAAATTAAAATATGAAAACTTAATAAGGAGCATGCAAATTGCAACTCCTTTATTGTTCTAGATGCTTTACAACATCTCTATATTTTTTCTGTAGCAATGGCAAAACAATAATGGATAATGGAATTGCACAAGCTCTTAGTAGTTGGATGCAGGTGGGATGATGATTAAGATGTTGAGCAGACTTATATTAAAAAATAAAATAAAATAAAATAAAAAATAAAAATGTAGGACTATGAGTCTTAGCAAAATTAAAGAGACAAAGTTAAAATCAAACTTGAGCAAGGACATTGTTTTTGTATCCCACTTATTGATCAGCCAGCAAGATTGTCATAGGAGATGACAATGGGACCTCTTCAATAATAACAAGTGTTAATCCCTATAAAACAAGTAGCCAATTAGAGGTCTTTATTTTATTGAGTGTATATATAGCAATTTGGAATGTGTATATAATAACTTGTGGTGTACTTGTAGCATGAACTATCATATAATGTAACTTATTACATGCTTTTTTATAAATCATGTAAGGAATAAATGATAAAGCTTCTATTAAAAAGTTAATTTCTTAAGCAAATAATAATCTCTATTCTAGTGTATATTATTTTTTAGCCATCTATGACTTATTCCACTATCTTTAAAGAACATCTATGTAGATGGAAAGTTTTAAGATTTTTCTTATGTATGTTGTTTTATGTCATTTATCTATAATCTTAGATGTTGGACCACACTTCTTGTCTTCTTTTGAAATCATTCTAAACCTTAAATTTGAAGACCATTCTATTTCTTTATATCTAAATAATAGAAATGAATAAGCATCAATTTAAGGTCCAAATAGTTCTTAGTATTTGTAGTTCAAAAGAAAGAGATGGTAGAAAATTTGGTATCAAATATGACTTGTTTCCAAGTAAAAGCATTTTATAGCTTCGAATTCTAAGGATATAAGGTCATTTTGTGCATGAGAAGTATAAATTGACTCCAGGTTCTAGAAACTTAGGAGCCTTTCTAAAAGCTATACAAGAAAATTTCTTTACTTTAAAAATAAAGAGTATGCAGTTCAAAAAAATATCTACTTAATTTTTCTTTCTTCAAATTAGCCATCATTTATTTGTGTTATATTATTTTAAGCAATTTAATCTTTATTTATTTAAAGATTAATTTTCTAATCTATTACATACATTTATAAGTGAAAAGATAATAAAAAGATGTGTTGCCAAAAGTAATTGGCTTGAAGCTCTAAGCTAAATTCTCTATTAAATCTTTTATATTAATAAATCTTTATTCTTTAAATTTAAACATATCAAGAAAATTTTGTATTTCTTTTACATGTAAGAAGATAGTTCTTTGAAGTTGGATGATTATGGCTACTATCAATTTATTAAGATTCTATTAAAAATAATAATAAAAAAAATAAAAATTGGAACATCTTAGGTTCATTTAGGTTTAAAACATTTAGTATTTTAATCTATTTTTATTTATTCATGGTGAGTTTTTAGATTGAAGGATTTATTTTTAAAGAAAGATTTATGGCCTATTTAAAATATGACCATCAATGTTTTAGAACTTTGGCTATATCTTTAATAAGCTTATTATTAAATAGATTTTGGATATTAATTTTCTTTTTTCATGAAAATCTTGAAGTATATATTTTTAATGATTAGGATATAATAGGAAATTGTTTTATCAATTTATCCAAGTCTTCTATCTTTCCTAGACACATAACAAATAATTTATGTTTCTTTGACTATGTATTCTATTACTTCTTTACTATCCACCAAGTGCTTTTTCCAGCCTTTAAATATTCCTTTGTCTTATTACATTTCCTGTTAATTTTAATTGCCCTGTAACAAAGCCTTATCTCTTCACTTATTGCTTCATACCATGCCATTGAGGTACTTTGGTAGGTATCAACCACGGTAGATTCAGACTCCTTGAACATGTAACATCCTTACAATCAGGTGTAGATACTTTGGGCAAGTAACATTTTCATTCTATACATTTTTCAAAATATTGTATAAACTTCTATAGATTATCATTTTTAAAAAATATAAATCATACATATTGATTTTATTTTAAGTTAGTGTCAACAATTCACAAGATATTATTTACTTATTATAGGTATTATTTCTTTATTTTGAAAGTTTTTACATTTGGTAGTTTTCTTTTACATCTTCCATAATTTTTCCAAATTTTTCTTAAATGCCAATACTATCTTTGTCATGTCCTACTAAAAATAAAAATTATCTCTCTTTAATTTTTTTTAATATAAATCAATTCTTTCTTACTCTCAGTTCTATTTCTACAATAACTTTTTTGGATTAAAGAACCAATTCAAAAATTTGATACTTTTTTTCACTTATTCTAAATTCAATTCATATATAAGTATATTTTTTTATATTCATATATATATATATATATATATATATATATATATATAACATAAGGCATGGCATTGAAATAGGAGCACATGTATATACTCCTTAAACTTGTATCACATACTTGCTTTGTCAATATGGACTACACTAGACTAGCCATAACACAACATAATACACTTATAATACATAATACATAATACAACATTAATATTGCTAGATATGATTGAAATTATCTTCATTCCAAGCTAACATCAAGTATGTGGTGTATTTTTAGAAATATATGCAAATAATCAAATATAAATAAATGGATGCATACATTGAGAAAGGAAAAACAAAAAAAACAAACAAACAAACAAATAACACTCCTCTTGGTAAATTTAGGAAATGTTTGAATTATGAAGAAAAAAACTATGAATAATTGAAATTTATGTTTTCAATGAAATGATAATATCAATGAATATAAAAATTTTATACTATTTGAAGAATAAATAAATAAATAAATAAATAAATAAATAAAAATCATGACATCTCATATTACAAATGTTGAAGGATGGTAACAACAATCAACCTAGATTAGTCTTGAGATATTTAGATTAATATGATTGTGTTTTATATTTCAATTTATGTTATTTAATTTCCTATCTTAAATATTTATTTAAATTCTATATATGAAATATATATTTTTATTTATGCAAAGTATATTTTATCACTTTGGTACTATATGTAATATTTTAATTTAAGCTTATAATACTTTTAGTGCAATTACACAACTTATTTCTAACACAATTATACATTTATTTGAAACACTAGCACTACTTTTTAACATTTGGATTTTTAACAATAGTACAAAAAGTTAAATACACTTACAACATTCATAATATTTATGCAAAGTATCTTTTGTCTATGAAGATGATCTTAGATAAATTATTTATTATTTTATTAATGATAAATGGGTATGATAATTAACTATGATATCTTTATAAATATGAATATGAATATGTTGCATGTGACACAAATAATCATGATATACATGACATAGTTGTAAACATATTGCTATGTTTCTTTTGTTGGAATTTCTTATTGTGTGTGATATTATAAGTATCCTTTTGGTATTCCAAGTTTTTTAAATCCTATACAATTTTAAGTTAATAAAATCAATCTCAATCCAAATATTAGATGACATGTTATTGAAAGCATAGATTGGCCAAAAGAAATGAAAGGTGCGTCAAGTAATCTTGGTGATGGTTGTATATTATTTATCTTTGATTTTGTAACTATGTTCTACAATGAAACCTTTGAAATATTTTAAACATTGTTTTGCTTCAAATTTTCACAAATATACTAGAAAGAACACTCAAATCTTAATTCCTTCACATCTAGAATCCTCCTTATATTTTAGTTCTTGTTTTTTTTTCTTTTGTTGATTTATTGTAAAGAATTTTTTGTTTTGCAATAGATTTATAATATCTATTAATAAGGATATGCTTGAAAAGAAACATCTACCATTTCCTTCACCCTCAAAGAAT